CATAATGCTGAAAATGTTTCGAAATCAGATGGAAATCATTTCAGTTTTTCCAAACTTTTTTTTTTTTTCCCTCTAACGCAGCGACATGGACTTCTCACTTCAAAACCCAGCGCTACAAGCTCTTTTTTGTCAGCTACCATCATACCTTGAAGATAAAGCTCTTTACATTAAATACAGTGTAGTTGATCCAGGTTGAAAATTATAAGGCACGTACATTATTTTTTTAAACCACGTGTTCGGAAGAATTGTTACAATCGTGCTATTCTGGATGGCCCGTCATAGCTATTGGGTTGTTTGGTGGGTTTTTTGTGGTTTGGTTTTTTTTTTTTTTTTATGGTTTCGGCCGAAAGGAATGAAGGACTACTAAATGCAGAAAGATACAGAAAAATACAGAAAAACCAAGAACGGAACAAAACATAACACATTGGTACAATGTGTGCTACAACAGCAATGATCAAATCTTCTCATTTCTTTACGACCAACAAAGTATTGATAATTGCAAAGCATTCTTTGTTTTGCACTGAAAATACCTGACTTTATTTAGATACACAGATGTTTCTCACTGGATTGCCACAATACCTGAAATAATAAAAAAAGGCTGTTTTTTTTTTTTCTTGTATCTTTTTTAACAACACAAAGCTGCCAAGTAATTGTTGTTGGAAAAATATGAGAGAAATAATAGGTAACTACAGAAATGATGAACTAGAACAACATCTGAGAAGAGAATAATAGTTAAGGAACATATGAAACCAAATGGCAACAGTTCTAGGCATTTATTCCAATATCTTAGAAAATAAAAAATATTCTTCATTGCATCACCATTTAAAGATAGAAAGACAAATTTTTTGATTAAGCCAAAAGATGTGAATTGTTTCCTTTTTTTTTTTTTCTTCCTATTTTTAAGCCTTGTTTATTCACAGTACAAATATACCCAGCTGGTACTTTTTTTTTTTTTTTTTTAAAGTCACAAGATGCACAAAGTCTGATAAGGAACACTGGTTCCTTTTCTCCTCCGTAAAGCTGCTCTGCCCTACAAAAACTCCAGTCGCCCCCCAAACTTTTCAGTGCTTTATTAAATTGCAGACCAGATCCACAATCGAGTCCCTTCTATGACCAGCAGTGGTAAGTGGAGAGCATGCATTCCCACACACACGCTCAGCCAAGAGAAAAGAAATGAAATAATTATTTGAAATCCGCCTTAAGGCAAATAGAGATGTATTTTTTTTTTCTACCTCTTGCTGAAAATTTTTTACTTCTTAAATTTCAAACATGAATCTGACATTCAGTAAATGAACTAATGTTCGGCATGAAGAATGCTTTAACCAAAAAGAAGAAATAAAAAGGAAATGTTTTTCCCGACAATTATTTTGCCTTAATTCTATCTACATTTTGTTAAAGCATTTTATGCGCTTTCAATAACATCAGATTGCAAGTTTTTTGGCAACTTTTTTTTTTTTTAATAAAAATTCAGACAGTGTTCTCTGTTTGCAATCAGAACCACAACCTTAGTGCAATATTATATTTATTTCTTACAGTAATTTTGGTTGCCATACAAGAGTATTAAGGATGGGGGAAAAGTGCAAGTTACAGGAGCTTGATTTTTTTTAATCAGTCGAAATAAGAGGAATTAAAGCACAAAAATTACAGCAACATAGATAACGTGAACACAAGTTGTTACACAAACTATAGCGAGAAACATATTAATATCTAGAAAAGAAAAGAAAAAATGTAATGGAAAAATTATCAATATTTGTGGCTCATACACATAATCATCGCCAGATCAACTGGGTAATGCTTTTTAAGAACTGAGGAAAAAAAAAAATCACTATTTTTATTAACTTAAGTACCACAAATAATTAACTTTTGTGATATGTAAATTCTGTAAATCAACAGTCACATCTAGTCATTTTATAATATATGAATTAAACTTAAAATGTTCTCAGACACCTAGGGAAAGGAGTCTGTGCAGTTATACACAATTTACATCTTGTAAGATTTTGGTATTGTATACACAAATATTACAGAAACTAGGCATGTAAATGCAATTTATTTAAATTACAGTATATAAACAAAAGTTGATCCTAAAACCCAGAATATCATAACGTAGTTCATAGATCTCTAACACCTTGTTTTTCACTATCATAGTAGCAGGAAATAAATGGGTCTTCTCTCCTCCCCCCAACATTTCCAGACTGACGAAAATACTCGGAGGCAACGTCGTTATCTGTTACTATTGCTTTCTGTAGCAAACTCATCACCCAGAGCTAGAGACCAATTCATCTTGGCGGAGGTGTATTTTAGTGGTGAAAGTAGGTCCTCTCAGGTCTCCTTACCTTCCCTTTTTAAGACACAATGTAAAAATAAACTATTTTGTTAGCTCTTTAATGCGTTAAACCTCTTCTCTACTAATTGTATCGTACCTATTCTTTCAGTACCTGAAAAGATACACGAGCAAGAAACACAGCTGGGTAGGAAAGGGATTACCGTCAAACTGGAATTTACCGTGTATGTCAGCACTTGTTCAACGTAAATTCAACAAGAAGGTTGTGATTAAAAAGCAGCTTAAAAGTCAACTTCTACATTTTCTTTTACTACCGTATTTTCTAATATATTTTCTGGCATGTATTATAGAGGTAATATCAACTGTACCCAAAGAAATAAAAAAAAAAAGAGCATGGCATTAGTGGTTTATTTACTGAATTCTGTCATATCACCAAATGGAAGACAATGATGGCTAAATTACCATTTTTACACTTCTTAAAGTATTTGATGGCCTCAAGTTGCCTGTATCGACTATCTGAATGAAACTGCCATTTTCTACACCATCTATGGAAAAATTCAGTACTCTTGAAAGTAAAATGCCTTAGTACTTGATTTTTATTACAAGGTTACTTGGAACTTTCAAATACAAATATAACGTAGTAACAGATGTTAAGTCAAAAGATTTGTTGTTCCGTAAAGGGGGCAGGAGGCTAAATAAGTTGCTTTTTATGAGTATCCAATGCATTGGTAACGATAACCACTTTTGAAGAAATATTTATCCTCCTTTGTAGAAGTTCTAGCAAAGATAGAAAATATAACACAGCTCTGCTGGTTCCGATGCATCCAAATGAGGTTGATTTTAAAAAGGTCAAGACTTTATCATTATTCCACAGAAATAGTAGTAAACCACAAAAGTTTTTTTTTTTTTTTGTTTTTTTGTTTTTAACTTTCTAGCACTGAAGTGGCACAAAGGCTGCCCAGTAGACCAGCCACTTATTTTCTTAAAATATTGTGCTTATAAACTATCTGTACAACTATTTAAACTTGCAGTAAAGAAAGATATTTAAAATGCTAAACTTTATGTACTCATACTAGGGCTGTTGCAGACCTAATTAGACACTTGTTTGTGAGCAAAAATAATCACAATAAAAAAATTAGAGATAGGCTGGACCATATCAAGGACCATATCAAGGAAAGAAAGTTCAGGTACCTTGCAAAATGTAAGAGAACCTGAAAGTATGGTAGGTAGGCAGTCTAGCCATCCACAAACAATTTACCCACCTCGAACATCTTGAATATTATGTTAATAAAGACCTACAAAACTCACAGATATTAAGAGGTGTTAATTACAAGGGGAGTTCAAACACGCAGAGAGAGACTTGTTAACTTTAAAAAAAAAAGGAAAAAAAGAAAAAAGAGTCAGATTAACCAAATCTGTGTGCTTCCCCCTGCTGACTGAAGTCTCCTGGAAAGCTCCTGAGCTGTATTACCCCACCGCCCAGTCCACGCTCGGCCACGGGCGCCTGGTTTCCAGCGTGGCGCACGCGCCTCTCCCGCGACCTCACCCGCAGCCCTGCAAAGAAACGGCCAGAGGCTGACGGGCAGCGTCCGGCTCCCCCTGAAGCGCTCAGCCTGCTGTCCTTGTCAAGAAGCCAACACCAGTTAACAGCGATAGAAACGAGGAACTGGATACCTACCCAATTCTCCCGGGCCCTGGAACACGTGCGTGCTGAGGCACTAGATACCTCTTTCCATCTCGGCATTACCTTTTTACCTTTTTCTTTTTTTTTTTTTTTTTTTTTTAAACTTGTCGGATTTTCCTGTTTCCTTTTTTTTTTTTTTTTTTTTTTTTTTTAAACGAGCTGAAACATTTCCATTTCTGCTAAGAGACTGAAATCCCCCTCTCACTTAAAACACTGGCAGCCTTCCCACTGACATTCATCTATCTTTTTATTCTTTCTGGCCCTGACGTTCAAAATAGCTAAGCACTTACCACTCACTGAATTAAACAGCATCTCTCAGGGTTCAGCATATTCAAGTATCTGACTGTGAAGTCCAAAAGATGCGTCTGTACGTAACCCCAAATTTTTACTGGCTTGTAGAGTTCATATTGCGACTTAGCAGTAGTTTAGCTGGTTGAAAACTGGGGGTCTCAGGTTCAAACTAGCTTCATTTAGTTGTACCTCTAAGTGTGCATTCCTCCTCGGTTTTTATGCAACGTCTGCATCGTCTTACAGGTCAAGTCAATGGAGCATGTATTGAACTTGTTCTGCCACCTTGGAAGAGTGCTAAGTATAACTGCAGAAATAAAGAAATACCAGGTAAAACAGAGCAAGGTTACCTTTGAACTAATTCCAGCAGAACAACCAGCTTCACTGCCAACAAATCAGAGCGCTAAACTAGTAAAAAAACCAGTATTACGAACTCCGGTACCTGTCTTAATATTGTGCCTCTGCTACTACCAAAAATGGGTTTGAATGGTAATGAAGCACTCTGTCCTCTTAAAATGAACTGAGGGTTGGGGAAGGAAGCCTGCTCGGAGACTGAATGGCAAGAAGAGAATATAGTGCTTTTCAATAAAAAAATGAAATGCTTGCAATTTTAAATTGAAAGAAAAGTGGTGTGTAATGGTTCCAGCAGAAGGGCAGTATCAAGAGATAGTATTTTTGAAGTTAACAATTTTCTCTCTCTCTCTCACATCTCCCCACAACTTTGAAATAAAATGGCCCCACTCGTGTAACATATTTAGATGTTTGGGCATGTAGCATACAGTCTGCATTACCTGAGTACCAGGAATTAAACTGTTCCCCCCCCTCCCCCCCAATTTTGCTGGCACTCGCAGACGAACAAGGCATTTGGGGTATTTCAGTACCAGCCCATCTCTAGTTATCAACAGAAGTTTGTGAGGCAAAATAGCTATTCTTATCTGTCCAGCAGCTGTTTCAAAGCTCTTTCTATGTTCATTCTGTGCCCAACTCTAGTCACTCCAAGGTCTATCAGATCTTCCTTTTGTAGATTTGGTAAATGAGTGCCATCTATTTCATTGTCCATAAATGTTTCTTTATGTTCACCTAAGTTTAGACTTTCCAACCAATCTGCCACATCTGGTTTAGTCCACAGGTGGACAGGCTTAGTTGTAAAAGGCTTATTTGAGATTGGCTGTTGTAGTATTGAGGGAGAAGGAGACCTGCTGCGCCCTGTGGTCAAGCCAAATAAGTCCCCAGAAGGGGGCTGGCTGGGTAGGCTAAATACATCGGACAAAGTTGGAGAAGGAGATGAAGCTGAAGCAGAAGCAGTCAGAGGAGCAGGCATGATGTCTTTATTAATCTCTGTTGGTGAAACCACAGGGCTTGGAGCATGTCTTGCTCCTGAGGTCCTACTGTCATAGTCTGGGGACCTGCTCTGCAGTGTGATCGGCTGGCTGGTTCCAGGTCGGACAGTAAAAGTGATTGTTGTACTTCGTGTACCTGAGACAGTACTCATGACTTCCGTGCTCCTGCAATTGCAAACAGACATGGAAAGTTAGATATATCAGCCACCAGCTGAAAGGTTGTCCATATCAACACGCGGTAAATATGGCTTTGGAATGCCTGAATATTTTCCATTTTTTAACGAGCCATAGCAGGTTAAAAGTACTAAGACGGTATCATTAAACCTTTCCCATAAAGCAATCATCAATGGTAAGCCATAGTTAAAAACAAAACCTTTGCTTGTGAGCAGTTCAGAAAACCACCTTCCAGAGCACATTCTTCCTTTTCCAGGCTACAGCAGATGAACTCGTGGCTAAATGAGAAACGCCAAGTGGCATAAGCACACGGGCACTTTGTGCTCCCTATGAAGTGCGGTCAGGAGTGGAGCTTCCCGTCGTTGTATGGAGGGGTGGGATCCTTCATTTCAGTTTTAACCTACCAGTTTTACACACTATTAGATAACATAACAGTAGTAGTTATGGGAAGTACCAGAAGCATCGGATTTTGGATCTTTGGGCATCTACTCAGTGAATTTCACGGCACATTTGTATTTGGGGGTGTGTTTGTATTCCCATTTGTTCACAGAACATGCTCCACAAGCTTCTCCTATTTCCTTTTCTGTTCAGCTGGCCTTTTTGTGCTTTAAAAATGAAACAGTCCTCCTAAGGTTCATCAGAGGACTGCCGTGTCCATTTCCTTTGATACAGAAATTACACTTTGGCAGTCAGACGATAAAACTTAAGGAGACAAAATGCGTGTTACTGTGCATGCCCAGAGGTGATGCAGTTGTGATCAAGTCACTGGCACTTATCTCTTGCCTAAAGGAAATTTCAGATTACAAACCAAGCAGGCACGAAACTTGCTCTGATGCCGAGGCTGACAGGGTGGGTGAAGGAGCAGACGAGTCTGCTTTTGTCTAGTGGCTATAGAACAAATTTAGAAGCAGAAGATCCAGGTTCAGGTCTGTTCGTACATAAAATGCTTAACCCCACAGCCCTTACTTCTCATGAGAAAACTCTGCCAGTCAGCGTGCACATTTCAGGATCTTCCACTGAACCCTTGGGTGCCTTAACCTGCAGAGTTTTTCACTTTTAAAATACCCTGCTGACAAGGAGAACCTTCAGACAACTAAGTTCAGGCACTTCCAGACCAAAGGAAAGATTTATTTATCCTTGAAGCGATGCCACAGACTCCAGAGGACGATCTGGAGGATGCCATAGTTAGATTTCTAACCCAGACCTTAAGCGAAGCCTCTGCATCTGAGCTCCAGACCGCCCCCAGGACTGACCCATCATGCCTGGGCAGAACTGACGATGATGTGGGTGCATGATGTCAGATACAAATGCTTCCATTAATAGTGCGGGCTCACCACTGTGCAGACAAGATCTTACGGAGCCAAAGGAAGAATGTGGTTCTGGAGCCCTCATATTTAAAGTGCTGTTATGAAAGAAACTACGGTCTCTTCCTAAGTCACTGCTTAAGGATTTTGTATTAATTGCCACCAGATGAAGTACCAAAAATGATGCCCACAGCAGGGGTCAAACCCCACATCTGTTCTCTCTGAGGTATGTCCCTCACCACCAGATGCACTTTAAAAATGAGAGGCCCTCTCCTGCTCCTCTGCCCTAGGTAATCATGACAGCTTTGCTCCTTCCTGTGGAGTACCACGGCTGCTGGAGAGGAGGGTGTAGCGTGTAGGGTTTTCCTGGCTCACTGGGTCTGCTCCCCGGTGCAATGTCATTGAGAACGCCCGTGGTAGGGAGTGATGACTTTGGTCACCCACATCCTGAGTAGAAGAGTGGTTAAAATTTTAAATAAAAAGATGATGGTACCAGCACTTTCTCCTCTAACCCACTCCCCCTGTGAGGTACTCATCCGTTACCAAAATGAAGCTCACCTGAGGCAATGATAACAGGCTATTAATCCCTTCCTCTCATCTGAGCCTTACTGTAGTCCTGGTAGTACTGAACTGGAGACCTTCTTCAGTGTCTCCTTCGTTTGCCGCTGGCTGCGGTGAGCCCTGTTAGCTACATACCCCCTGCACCGCATCTGGGGCTTTGGCACATAGTCAACAAATCATCAGGTAACCTACGGCACTGCTACACCAAGAGTCAGAGCACGCTCGTGTCACAGCCAGTCTCATTCAAATAAAAGTCCAATACCGTGTTATTAGAAAAGCACTAAGATTAACTTTTTGGAGACCGTACACGTTATTCACACGAGCAGTCCCACTGATTTCCCACAAATTGTTCCAGGTATTTCAGTGGGAACAGGGGGATCTTTTTGAGGGTTGAAAGATCGGCACTTCACTTAAAACACAGTAGGAACAATACTTTTAGCACTTATGTCTTTGTAATTCAACAAAGAAAGGAAACACTTGGCAAGGTTTTGAGTGTTTCTTGTGATTTGTTTGGAGCTTAATGGCTCTCATTGTCTTCCAGGACTGAAGCTAAGCATTCTTACAAATAAAAAGTCTATGGCAAGAGACTATTAAATTCTACTAACCAAGGGGAACAAGTTATTTCTCCCTACTTTAGCTTGGCATTAGGAGTCTCATACACTTTCATAAGGCATGATATAATTTTAAATCCACAAAAAATCTGCTTTGAAAAAGGTTGGGATAATGCTGTCCTAGTGATTGCGAGAAGATCAGGATGAGTTTTGTGGAAATGTTTCCCTATCCCTTTACCTGCAATTACCCTTTTACTTAACTTTCCAGTCTTGCAAATACTAGATATTATGGCTTTGTATTCACATCCTTTGTGGCAATATCAAATGGATGATGAAAATCCATCTTCTCTTACGCTAGATGCTGACCCATCATTTCTGCCACTGGACTGACCACTCCAGGCTCGGTGTACACCTTCTGCTTTGTAACTCACTTTTGCTGCTGCTTCTCTGTATAGTTCAGAGACTCCTTGGCCATCCTTGTCAGGAAATCATTGTCACTGTTCCTTTAAAGAAGGTATATTAAGCCACTAAGACAAAACCCCCCAAAAGTAAACTGTGTGCTCTTATTTTAGGTATTCCTCAGATTAGTGTTACCGAACCTGCTCAGACCCACGGACAGTAATACTGGGTGAGCAAAGAAATTCTGGCACCGTTGTACTTTGCTTTCTGTCAGCCTCGATCAACATAATGGCTTTGCGTGGCTACAAGCAATATTAAAAGACCTGTGGGCATCATGCTTTTTTCAAGCCATAGGTTCAGGACTACTGACTGTTAAAATACAACTCTGGAACAACGATAAGAAAATTTTGTGGTTTAGCTGATTAATGAAGTTTCAATACCAGCTCAGTTTATAGCCACATCAGTACTCAAGCCGTTATAAATATTAATCCTTTCAGCAGAAAGCTCAGAGCACTTCGTTAACATTAACAGCCTTAGTGCGAGAGCAACACACCTTCTTCGAGAAAGCTGTTTGTTCTCCTGCACGCTTGGGCACGCGGACAAGTCTGTCCCCACTGCTGTAACAGTGGTCCTGTTTAGGACCAGTCTTAACCACAGCAACCTGAGGTCACTGCTGTCCGCGAAATTATTCGGCAACCTGCAAAACTGAGTTTGTGCTCGGTTCGCAGCCGCTGTGCTTCAGCCGGCTCTGCCATCAGTTCCGCAGCCTTCACAGCACAGGCACAGCTCTCGTGAAGGTCATGCAAGTCTGCCGAAGCCCACAGTTGCATTTCCAGGCTTCTAGTGTGAAGGCTTTTAATTCCAATTTTCATCTTCCCCCTTTCTTTTTCCCCTCTTTCCCCTGCCATATCAACTCCAGCATGTAATAGAGACTGCTGTACTGTAATTGTAATCCAAGGAAAAAAAATCACGCATATTTGTGTAACTCCTGTGCATGCTAAATTATAATGTATAACATCTACAATACAATCTGTGATGCAGATACAGCCTTGAAACCGTCAGCTGTCTTGCATTTTACGGTTGATTGGTATCCTGATCAATAAGGAGCAAGTGCATTCCAGCTGGAGAGCAGGCATGTTTGTGTTGTGTTGTGGGTTTTCCAGATTTTTAATAAGAGCAATTTCTTCTGCCTTATTTGATCATCTGTTACACTAAACATATTAAATCCATATTAAACCTGCCCAAACCCAAATTTCATTTTAAAAAGGTGAAAAGTCTGATAATTATTTTAAATAAAATTTGCTCTATTAGAATCAGCATATGGTAGTAATTTATAAACATTTGCTGCTGTGAGACTGCACTGATTGCAATGTCCGTTACGTTGCCTCATATGAAAATCACAGTCTATAATTCCTATCTCACAATGATGCAGCCTCCAAGTATAAAAGCCATCAACACAGCTTGTAGGCAAGAAGTTCTTTTAAATCTTGAATTAGATTTGCAGGATTCAAATTTACCGTTAACTGAATATCAGAGGCAAATCGGTGAAAGGTGGCACGCCGCAACAGCTCCTAGGAGCCTCCCATGTAAAAACCAAAAATCCGTTACGCTCTCATGGGAGCTGTCTTATCCTGCAGCTTGCCAAAAGATTTGCTGTTTCTGACAAAGCTCTTGCATTGTGTCAGAGAAGAAAAAAATCTTAACAACCAAGAGAACCAATGAGTGAAATGAATCCCTACGCAGAGGTACTGCAAGAAATTAACTTTTTACAGATTTTTCTGGGAACACACATACCTAAAACTTTGCACCCTTCTCTTATAATATTTTCACTTTATTTTTAGATTGTCAAAGGAAAATTGTATGGTAGAAAAGTAAGACGATAATTGTCTGTTTTGGGGGAAGATTAAGAACAAGGGCTGACGTGATGACTGGCAGGATACAGAGCTTCTCATCATAGTGTTATTTTAGTGAGAAGAATTGAGAAACGGTTAGTGTCTGCTGCAAGTAACGCTGTTCAGCTGGAGTGAAGAATAATCATTAAGGTCTGTGGGAATCTGGTCAAGAACAACAGTTTCCATGCGAATAGCATGAATGTCTGGAAAGCAGCAGCAAGGGGATGGTGCTGACGGGGGCAGAGGGCCAGGAGACCTCACCCTCCGTCCTTGGAGACCTGCAG